CCAGTGATAACTCGATAGAGCAGGTTCCCCAAAAGCAGGTGGGATGGGCTGAAGGTGGGAGGTGAGTTTGTTGGGGCAGGAGAAACACCTTGTGGTCGTTGGCTGGGTGCCGACAGTGGTTTGAGGACAAGGAGCCAGAGATTCACACCTGATAAGCCATATTTTCTCTGTGCATTTGGAGGCAAAGGCATCTGGATGGTGGGGAGCTGCGGAGGACCCTGAATGAGACGTGGAAGAGGCTGGGGTGGGCTGAGCTCACACCAGGAAGGGATGCTGGCACTCCAAGACCGCCATTTTGAGCAGCTCGGTTTGGCCCGTTGGAGCCTTTTCCATGGCTCAGTGGCCTGGGAGGGAGTGGGGGAGGGGTGGGGGCTGACCCAGGCTGGGGATGAACTGGGCAGGGGAGAGGTAGGGAGTAGGGGGTGGGGGCACCACCCAGAGGGTGTATAGGGAGGGCTGGAGTCGGGGGAGCTTTCAGGGGCTGAGGGATTCCACCATGTTCCTGTGGGGATGGGGGGTCCAAGGGCAGGAAGTGAGAGTAGGAGGAGGTCACGTTGTGAGGCCAGAACGTGGAGGGTGGAGTCTCTGGGGAAAAACAAAGACCCGTCTGGAGTCAGGTGTGGTTTGTGTTGCTGTGCAGCTTCCTAATAACTGGGTCATCTCGGGTAGGCTGTTTAACCTCTCAAAGTCTCCGTGTCCACACCCATGAAGTGGAGGCGCTGCCGGGCCCTAACCCGTGGGGCTTTGTGAGGACTCGATGACGGGGGCAAGGTTGTGCTCAGCGCCAGGCCCGGCGGGTTCAAATCTGGACTCGCAGCGCCATCGCCCACCCAAGCCCAGCTCTGCTGTGTGCCCCTGGTGCACACATGGGCGTGCGACTCAACCTTGCTGGACTTCAGTTTCCTCGTCGGTAAATGAGGTTGATGGTAGAAGGGGCCTCAGAGGTTGTTTGGAGGATGAACCGATTTTATTTATAAGGTGCCTAGCCCACCGTCTGGTCCTTAGGACCCTGGGTACAAATGGGGCAGGATGCCATTGCTCAATGATGAAGTCTCCATGAAGGGTTGGGGTGTCCAGGGGTGGAGACTCAGCCAGGAGTGGGGTGTGACAGCAAAGATATTTGATGACAATAAGGAGCAAAGATGGAGGACTCCAAATCTGGAACAAGAGGCTCTGGGGATAAAGAGTTTTTGCATGAGAATAGGAATGCTGGCCTCACCGTTAGTGGGGGTGATGGACAGACAGACACAGACGGACAGGACAGGGGGACCTCCCCTAGCCCTGACCTGCCAGGTCTTGTGTATTGAAGAAGCTTTTTATTCTCCAACCCAGGATTTAAAAAAAAAAAAATCAGAATTAATTCGAAGGCTTCCAGGAAGGCGGTATCAGCCTTGCTCTGTGGCGGGGTGGGGACGCTCCTGGTGTTAAGGTGCTACAAGACAGTTCATGGGAACAAAAGGACGCACTGTGACTCTCAAATTAACAATTTCCATGCAACAGAACAAAGATGAAAATGCGTGCCTGTCGGGGAGGGGTGGGAAGGGATGAAGTGGGGAGAAAATGCTCACAAAAAAGAAGTAGGACAGACATTTAATAACTAAAGTGTGGAGGAGACCATTAGGCTCCCACTGGAGCTGTGGGCTGAGGACACTACACTTCTGGCAACAGGAAACATGATGAGAAAAGAAATATCCTGAAAAGGCCCACCATTCCCCCACTGTGTAAGTACACAAGTGTAGCTCAGTAGCTGTGACCTCTGGCAGGTGTCAAGAAGCTGGGGAGACCAGAGGTGACAGCCCCCGGGACTCAGGCAGGAGGGGCCCCAGAGCCCTAGTTGCCAGGCTGGAGTGGAGAAAAGGCCAGGAAGCTCCCTTGATGGTTCAGCCCAGGACGCTGCCCCCTGGAGGGCCGGATCTCGAAAGGGCCTTGGAGACCTGGACAAGACAAGCCAGGTGTGTCAACTTGGGGCATTTCCTTAGAGTTCTGAGTACGTTCTGCGGCTCGCTGAAAGAGCTGGCCCCCTTCAATGATTACAGAACCTTTCTTCCCTGGCACTCAGCAGGAGGGGACGTTATGGAAGTGCATCTTTTCCAGAACCTTGTGGTCTTGATAACCTCCATACTGAAGGGCCCCCTCTGCACGTTGGGGAATTTCAGCATCCACTTTGGTCTGACTCCTGCACGCTCAGGGCCACCCCAGGCCCCACTGGGGCCATGAGAGGCTGCAGACAGGGCGATTGTGGGGAGCAAGGAGCTCTGAAAGAATGACCAGGGTCATGGCAGGAGCCAAAGGAAAGCCCACTCCCAGATGTCTGAGCATCCAGAACTTTCTGCCTTAACCTCACTGTTACATTTCCAGTGAGAGCTGGAGGGGGCATGTGGGAGGGGAAGAGGTGACTTCTAAAGCTTGCTGCCCCCTTGCGTATTTTACTCCATCCTGCCTTGGTATGAAGGCTCCTGAGTTTGAGGCTGTCAGCCGCCCATGTGCCCACTTCCAGGGGGGCTGGACATTGAAGGTGTCTGCAGGTGGCTCAGTGGACAGCTAGGGGTCAGTCCTTGGGGACCTGGTTTGGATCCCAGGAAAGGGCCTCGTCTGTGCTCAAGTGGAGTCATGCAGGCTCAATGCGCAGGTGGAGCTTGGGGACAGAACCGCGGCGGAGCCTGGCAGGTTCAGAGCAGAGCGTGGGAGGGCACAAAGGGGACTGGGCCTGTCTCCCTCCCCGTGCCTTTCCTTTCTCTTCCTCTCTTCTCTTATTTCTGGAACCCCACCCCTTCAATCAGGAAGTTTCCATTCTCCAAGGTCCTCCTTTTCCTTTCTTCTTCAAGGCAGACATCGCGGGGACTAGGAATCTCAGTGCCATCCAGTATCAGACACTTGCTGGGTGCTGTTACCCCTGTTGTCACCCCAGCTCCTGAAAACAGTGTTTTTGAGACAAGTCCTCTTGTCTGTCTTGACCACCACTGCCTGTACAGGGTAGATGATCAATGGACATTTGTTGATTGAGTGAATGTGTGACCCCCAATTCACAGAAGTTAGGCAACGAGCCAGGTTTACAGAGTGGCTACATGAAGGAGTGGGTGCCTGCACCCGGCTGGCCTGGGGCTCTCATTGGAATCAGGCTGCCTCAGATCACAGCGGCCCTTCTCTGAGACACCCCGACACCCCCTTCCTGTCCTGATTCCTTCCATTATAGCTGTTGCCCTCATCCCACGCTGACCCTGCCAATTGAGTCTGTCCTGTGTCCAGTCCTTGAACTGCCCCATCCCACTGCAGCTGGTCCTGATTTGGATGGTGTTAGAAGAAAGACACTATACTGTCTGAGGTTTCTCTTTTATGGGATGGCTTCCTGTCCCAGGTAGGTTCCCAGGGACTTCTGAGCACCCCTGATGCTGCTCCTGTCTGGCCAGCCCTCCAGCCTCAGCTCTTGCTATCCCACACATACCCTGGCCTTTGGCTGCACAGTGAGACCCCCGGGCCCCCCCTCAAAATGCTGAGCTCCTCCTTCCTTGTGTCTGCACTTAGGCTGTTCTCTGTGCCTCTTGTCTCTTCTGTCCTCACCTTGTCCCTTGCCCCTGTGCCCTGAGCAGCTCCCCCAGGCTGGGTTGGGGGCATCCCGCATGGCTCTGGTCAGTGCTTACACTCTGCAATGCCCATGGTGGGCAGGTCTTCCCTTCTGGAGGTGATGCTAAACGAGCAAATTTCAGGAGCATCAGGAGAGGGTGTGGGGAGCCCCTGGGTGCTGGGGAGCCGCTTTTTGGCAAATACGATCAGAATGGCTTGTTCCTCACCCTACGGGGAGCTGGCTCCCGGAGCGCAGATGCTGCCCAGAACGCTGGTGGGATTTTAGGTTTGAGCTCCACTGCCGCCCACTCTGAGCTCCCCAGCCAGCAGGCAGGAACCCACCCAGGTTCCCAAAGCCTCTGATTTGTGCTGGATGCTGGGACGGTGGGCAGCACCATAGTGGCCAGTTTGAGGAGGTTTATGGGAAATTCTCTGAGAAAAAAATCTTGATATTTATGACTCCCCAGGGCTGTGGCAGAGACAGGAGAGGAGGAAGCTGGATGGACAGGCCTGACCCATGGGCGGGGCCTTGGGCAAGTCCCTGCCTAGCCTGCCTCTTATTCGTGAGCACAGCGCTCTGAGTCTGGACCACACATTCCTCTGCCAGGGGTCTACCATTACTCCCTTGATAAGGGTTATTGGCAAAGCTCTTCCAGAAAGGGAGGTAGGAGACGATTTGTATGCAGAACAGCCCATGTAGGACTCAATCTTTTGTATCAAAAAAGGGAGAAAACAGAACACCTATGTATATATGTTGGTATAGAAACTCTGGAAGAAGCTATTGTCAGTGGTACCCTGAGGAGTAGGTGGGTACTGGATTTGGGGGGCAGTGGTGGGACAGAGACGTTTTACTGTATGTGTTTACATATGTATTTGAATCGTGTGCATGTATTTGAAATTTTAAATAAAAAGCAACAGCAATAAAACAAATTTTTTTTTTTTTTTTTTGGTGAGGAAGGTTTTTCCGGAGCTAACATCTGTTGCCAGTCTTCCTCTTTTTGCTTGAGGAAGATTATCCCTGAGCTAACATCTGTGCCCATCTTCCTCTATTTCATATGTGGGTCACCACCACAGCATGGCTTGACAAGCATGGTTGTAGGTCCACACCCAGGATCCAAACCTGCAAAACCGCGGGCCACCGAGGTAGAGTGCAGGACTTCACCACCACATCACCAGGCCAGCCCCAGAATATTCATTTGAAAAAAGAAGATAGCCAGAATGGGAGGTGGGCGAGGCTCCCTTGGAGGAGGGAGGGGCTGAGCCCCAGTCACTCTCTGCAGGCCCCTCCATGCTGACTGTTTCCCGGGGCTCCCATGCCACAGGCCCTGGACACCTGCGTGTCTTGTTTCTGCTGCTGTCCTGACAGTCTCCTGACCTCTTGCACCTGCACCCAGGATGCCCTGGCCTGGCCGCCTCACCTTGGCTTAGGTGGGGCCAGGGGTCTGGGGGGGTGGGTCTTGCTTGGGGAGGGACTGCCCAGAACCCTGTCTTCAGGCCCAGGCCAGCTTGGACCCCATGTCCCGGAGCAGGGACTGAACTTGCATCCCCACAAGCACAGGTGTGATCAGGTGAAGATGGTGAGAGCTGAAAAGGCTGTCCCTGTTCCATCAACCTCTTCACTGAGCTGGGAGAGCCCATGCTCTGGAGGGCCAGGTGACTTCCCCACAGTCACCCACAAGCTGTTATTTGTACCGAGATGACCTGTACGCTGGGACGAACCACCCAGATCCATCTCGGGGAGTTTCTATTCCTGTAGACACCTGCAAGTCCCAGCATGCCTGGCCTGTCAGAATAGCCCGTGCCTCAGTCTCTCACAGGATCTCCTAGTCACTCCAGGCTGCAGTTCAGCCCCAACTTTCCTGAATGGCCGGAATCTGCAGGGGGTCCCCGCTGAGAGCCGCCCAGGGCCCATGGGTGAGTCTCAGCTCTCCTGGCCCTGGAGATGGGAGGATGTGGGGAAATCTCTTCTCGCAAGGCCTTCCGGAGCTATTTGGCCCAAGGCTGACCCAAACCGCTATGGAGAAGCCAGAGCTGGCGAGTGGCATGGGGCCCAGCATAGCGGGGTAGGGGGTGGGGGAGGCCCTCCTGCTGCCCATCCTCGAAGACACTCTGCATGAGTGCCCCCTGCATGGGGCTGAGGCATCCCCCAGGCTGGGCCCTGAGGCCTTCCCAGCCCATGAGTCCTAAATATGAATGTGCCAGCATCACGCTTTTTTCTGTGGGTGGTAGTTCTGAATCCTAAACCCCAGGAGCGCTGGAAGTCTTGGTGGCTTCTTTCAGATGCTGGTGGCCCCTGTGTGACACCCAGCCTAGAACATCTAGTGTGTGACCTGCTTCCCTCTCGTCCAAAGGCGTCTCCTGCCTCTGCTCATGCGCTGGTTCTTGTGCAGTGCGCAACTTCCAAGAGGGCACGGAATGCAAATCCCCTTCCTGGAGAATGTTCCCCACTTAGACAGAGGGGACCCCCACAGAACCCCTCTCTAGACCTGATAGAAAGAGCCCCCTCTGCCAGATCAGGCTGACACTAGAGCCATTTGAAGAACGTCTGGTCCCACCCCCTCATTTCACCGATGAGGAAGCTGAGCCCCAGAGAGGGAAGTGACTCTCTCCAGAGCAGGTTGGTGAACAAGCTGGGAGGAGAAATGACATCTCACAGCTCGCTCAGCTGTGCCACACCACCAACAGGTAACAGCCCCCGGGCCACTTAGAAAACCCAAGGCACAGAGCCATGGACTGACCTGGCTCTCGTGAACTGCAGGTGACTTTCCTGAGGTCAGCAGGGCCTTCACGGCCGGGGCTCTATCCACACCTGCCCCGACTCTGTCCACACCGTCCCAGATGGCAGGGGCAGCGGCAGCCTCCGGCAGCCTCCGTGACAACAGCAGCAGCAGACGGAAAGCTGGTTTGTCCCTGATTATCGGTGACATTTTCTACGAACCTCAACTTCCTCCTGGTTTGACTCAAGTTTGAGCATCTTGCCGGGGTGGGGAAACCTCACCATAGGCAGCCCAAGAACCTTCTCCAGGGGAGCTTGGCTTGCGTGCCACCACCCTCGCTGGCCCGGCTCCCTGCTCCCCCAGAATCTGGCTGGGAAAGCACCAAGAGCCCAAGATGACACATTCTCAGGAATCGCCTTGCAGCCCCTGAGCAAGGTGCTGGCGGCAGACCAGGGCCACGCTTGGGAGCCCAAGCTAGCCGCTTGCCAACTGCATAACTTCCTGGCCTCAATGTACCTCTCTGGGGAATGGGAGCAATAATGATTTCTTCCTCACAGGGCTCTTGGGAGCAGTAAGTAATGGGGATTGCTTGCCCCCAGTAAGTACCAGGGAAGCTTGGTTGTTATATATTATACCTGGATTATTCTCGAACCCCAACCAAGTGTCTCTTGGATAGGCTGGGAGGGAAGATACAGTAGCATGGAGAACCCTAAGAATTCTAGATTCTTTCTTGAGAGTGGAGGTGGAGAACAGGAGGTCAGGAAATGTCCCAGGATCAGCCTGGGTGAGGTTGGTCTGCCCAAGGTGGTGGGGCTGGGGGGGCGGGGTGTGCAAGGTGCTGCCCAAGGCTCCGTGGAAGGCTCGGGGCTCCTCCAGTTCTGACCAGTTGTCCCCACACCAAAGGGAAACGCCTGTCACTCTGGAGCTGCTACAGACCAGGTCCTTCCCTCGTTCCTCCTTTCATTTAATAAGATCTTCCCCAGGGCCTTTTGATGAGAGACATGGTGATCTAAGGGTGCAGGAGACCTGGTCCTTGTCCCGGGGTTGCTAAAGGACAGCAGGGACACTCCCCCCCGGTACACAGATGTCCTCCACTTGGCCACGGCAGGGAAATCACATCGGATGATGTAGGTGGATCAGGAAAGTGGACATTTGAAGAAAGGGATGGGTTTCTAGGAGGGGAAGTGACAGGCTGAGGGAAAAGAGTATGTCAAGCAGCGCCAGGCACGCAAAGGAGTGAGGAAGCGGGGCTGGGAGCTCCTGGATACACCGGGTGCTCTTGCTGGTGATGCTTGTGGCAGCCTAGAGTGGGGAGAAGATGAAGGCGAGACTCAGAATGTGAGTTCCAGCGAGGCCCCTTGCTACCTGTTTAACCTCGGGTAGACTTGCTGCTTTCCCTGAGCCTCACTCTCCTTCTCTGTAAAATGGGCGTAATTATCACAACATCCCAGGGATGTACTGAGGTCCCTCCTGCAGGGCACTCGGCACCAAGCTGGCCACATCTCAAGTCCCTGAGCTGGCCTTCCCTACTCCCCCAGCTCCACTCTAGCACGACCAAGCTTAGGATGCAGCTCCAGCAAAATTCTGCGGTCAGGGAGATTCTGTCTACGTGCTCTGTCACTGCTGTGTCCAGTTCCTTCTTGCATCACATCCCCCAGAAGCCCAGCTCAGGTGCAGACTGATGAATTTATTGGCATTATGGTGTTAGTGGCAGATAACTACAACCAAGCAACTATTTATGTTCCAACTATGGCCTTCAACCCAGCCCCTCAGAGGAGACCGGGATTTTAGGTGAGGAGCCTGGATGGGGACGACACTGGTCTGGGGATTGGGGACCACTCCTCCTCAACCTACGCCCCTCAGGCTGTGCCAACTCTGCTCAGCCATGGGCTGGCCCTCTCATGTCTGGGTGGCACAGACCACAGAGTTTCGTGCGAGTGAGGGGTTTGGCAGCACACGAGAGGGGAGCGCCTTCTTAGTCTGCAAACCTTCCAAGGTTGCATTCTTTCTGTTGCTTGTGTTGTCTGGAAAGTCCAGTCCTTCCACTGGAGGAAGGTTGGCTTGGTCTAATCGACAAGGAGTTTAGATGCCCCGGTTGTGCAGGCACAGGCTCAGGGCTGCCCGAGAAGGAGGCTGGATCCTTGAGGGCATGGAAGGGGAGGGTACCAGGGGGCGCAGGCAGCTGCAGGAATTACAGCCCAGAACGAGGTCAAGTTGGCAGTAAGAAAGCCAGCTCCGTGAGGCCCTGGGCTCCCCATTCACAGGGCTGAGCAGGGCTATTCAGATGAGAGAGCCCAGAGAGAGGCCCTACAGCCAGCGACAGCCAGGAGCAGAGCTGCCGCCTCTGGACACCCTGCCCTGTCTTTTTTCACATATGGGACATTTTCTCTCCTCTTCATAAAACTCTAAAAAATATTAATATATTGACAGAAAGTTCCATTTCAGGGCTAAAAAAAAAAAGAAAGCCCTCCAGTTGCGTGAATTCCCTTGACAACATTCTGGATAAGTGGCTCTCCTGCTTTTGCTTGCATACCTCTGGTGACAGAGAGCTCACTATATGGCATAGCTGCTGTGTCTGCTTTCAGACCCTCCAGTGGCAAGACAGGTCTGCTTTCTGCAGCATCTGGAACCCATTCCTTTTACAGGCCCGCGGAGTCACAGTGGAGCAGGTCTTGAGCACTGGAGGATGCTAATACATCTATTCTTTTTCTGGCTTCCTAGCCCCTCCACATGCAGCCCCAGCGGACAGACAGCCTCTGGTGCGCGGGTGACAGAGCAGTGCAGGGCCACTGTCACGCCATGTTCCTCTTCTAGATTCTCCAAACGCAGAATTGGGTGCACCTCAATTCTCATCTTCTCTCCTGTTTACAAGACTCCTTAGGCATTCCCATTTTCCTTGCAGCTGTGACTGCATCCGTGTTTTGTGTGTAAATATTTGTTCCTTTCCAATATTTCAGGAGTGCACTTCTGATCTTATCTCTGACTCACACATTGTTCAAGAGACTATTGAAGAGAATGCACAGTAATGTCTATCATACATTTTTAATACCACTGTGCTGCCGCAGAGCTGTGATTTCTTTGTGGTCTGAGAACAGGAGGGTAGAACCGCCATTGCCTTGCAGTCCTTTGCTGTGCCCAGGGTGGGATAAATTTAGTGAAAAACTCTTTCCTGTCCCAAAGAGACTGTGTTCCTTTGATTTACGGCATAGCCCTCAATGATCTGCTAGTTCTACCTTATTAATAGGGCTGTGTAGAGCTCTCAATTTCTCTGTCTACTTGATGGATGCTATTCTAAGAAGCGAGCATTAAGATCTCTACAATTATATTTCCATTTCGACTTCTCTTTGCAGTTCTGGTGTGTTCCCATTATGTACTTCTTTGCTATGCTCATTGGAACATAAATTGAGTGTTTTATGTTTTAATTATGGTTTGTTAACTTTTACGTTGGTAGAGTTTCTGTGTTTCTCTCTTAATTCTTTTCACTAAAAAAAATTACTTTGTTATATTTCCTTCTTTTCCAGGGTTCCGTGTGCCTGATAAACTGTAGATAATCCTATCATTTTACTGTCTACGCCTATTTTCTCTGGGTTTCTTATCCGCAAAAGATGATTGGGTTTTGAGTTTTTAATGGATGCCCCTTTTTATGGGGAGTATTAGAATTATACTATAGTTGTTACATCTGTGCAAGCCTCCGGGGTTGCCCTCTCCTTTCTATATTGAGACATTACAATTTTTCACTTTCAGTTTCCATCGTGAATTTTCTCTTCCTTTTTGTCCCTTTAAAATAGACAAGATAATTTAACCTAAATGTGCAATTTAGAACATGGTCAAGTTTTAACATCTACGTTTATTTCTATTAATAGCTCTCCAAACTGCCCGTGAATTATTCTTAAATATCTTCCCTTCCTTCACCCACTCTTCATTGTTAATGTGGCATTTTGGCTTTCTTTTATATTCATCTTTACTCTTTATGTTATGCACACTTTTTATGATGTGATGGTTGACCTGTGAACTCATGAAATTTTTCTGTTTATCCTGGATCAGGGTCTTGTCATCCTGCTCTCATCTCTTAGGGGCACCTGCTTTCTCAGCTGTCACTTCCAATTCTCTGTCACTTCATGCTTTGTTCCCAAGTCCCTCAGATGCTACATGTTGAAGTGTTTATCTTTGACCTGGCAAGATTTATGCCTCATCAGCTGAACACTGGTTAGCTTATGCGTTTCTTTAAATTCGGTGTAAACTTGCCTCTTACCCACACAGTGCCTCAAACACGCTCCTAAACTTTTCTTCTTTTAAGGGAAAGTCAAAAGCTATTCTCATTTTTCTCCTTTTTTCTCTAGCATTTAATACAATTTTTTTAAAAAAAATTAAATTGTTTTTATATTGTCATTAATTAATTGGAAAAATATACCAAAAGAAGAGAGAGAGAGAAATAAAAATAAATGATTTAAAAATCTGCCACCATCTAACTGTTAGAATGCAACCGAGGTTTGGAATATGGAAATTTTTTCTAGGTTTTTTTTCCCTAAGCGTGGGCTTTTGAAAATCATAGTTGAAATCGTTGTGAATGTATAATCCTGTAGTTTGTGGGGTTTTTACTTAACATAGTCAGCATAAGCATAACATAGTCAGATAGAAAAATTTTCCATTGAGTAGATTTACCGTAGTGAAATTAAGCTCTTGTTGGCATTTTAATGCATGTATTTTTTGCAATGAGAAAAAACGTGTTAAAGTGAATATATTTCTGTACACAACTTTTTTTTCATAATTTACTTAAGCTAAATTTTCAGAATCACTGGATGAAAGACCAATAAGATTTCTGTGGCTTGTAATATAAGCTACAAATCTCCAAAGTTGTGTACTAATTTGTGTGTTCACCAGCATAGCGGTGACTGTTTCACGGAACCCTTGCCAGCTTCTTCATTAAATCTGATGAGCAAAAATTTTATCTCTTTGTAAATCTTCTTC